TCACAGATGAACAGAAAGTTCAAAAGAACAGCATTTATTTGAAATAGAAGTGTTTTATAACATTATAAATGTCATATTCGATCAATCCATGCTGAATAAAAGTATTAATTTCTTTTTTTTAAATCTTACTGACCCCAAACTTTTGAATAGTAGAGTATGTCTGCAGACTAAACTAAATACCAACAACTGGAGCAATCAGCCGGTAAAATTAATGTAAAATAACATGCAGGATAGCATTGACTACTTTTTTTGAAAGGGAATTTTCAACTAGTTATGTTATACAAGTTATGTTGTAATGTTACACTGAGAACAAATTATGTTTACAGTTTTAACAATTGTATTGTACTTTATATGTTATACTAATTAAATTGTTTTATAATTGTACCCGTTAGAGATGCTGACAGTTCATTTGTATGTCTCTCTTGACACTGTTTTTGCTTTCTATTAAATAGGCTATTTATTAGGTCAAATTATTAAGCTATTTTAATATTATATGTCTATCTCTCTCTCTCACACACTCAAAGACGACACATACATATAGAAAGAACTACATAAATTCAAGAACTGTTTGTCAAGAATGGAATTCAGACACGTACAAAAATGTTCACAGGTCAAACATGGACATCATCTCTACATCAAAGCAGAAGAAACAGCAGGCAGCGTTACAGAGCAGCTGAATGTACGATACAGTTGTTGTCCGGGTGTTACATTCAGATTGAAATGAGTTAGTCCACAATATGAAGACGTCTCAAAGACACAATGAAACATGTCAGACCTACACAAGAAAAACATCAAATCTCCCACTTATCTCCTCGTTCCTCAAATATACAGCGCTCAAATAGGCTATACAATGAAATAAAAAGTGTTACCTACTGGCAGGCAGATGTGTTACAAGCACAAGAAAACACGTCTGTAACAGCTTTGAGACATGGTCGTTACCTTCCGAGCTCACGCTCAGAATGACGGCTGGTGTCAAGAACATAGAAAGCAGCAAAAATCTCTCTCTTTTTTTGTCTTTTTCATGCAGCTATATCTAGAAAGAGCCACAGAGGGAGCTCGGCCCCTCATATATACAAACACCTATGAAGCTGTAAGGTCACGTGATCCAAGCAACCTCTGACGCTCTCCGTTAGCATTTCACAATTTATTTCTACAGACAAGTTCACTATCACTGAGAGCATTTTCAAGATCATTACGATTTACAGGTTGAAAAATAATGACCATAAGAGAAATGAGAAAGCTCAAACAAATATAAAAAAAATTTTTGTCATCACTGATGAGAATTTATGGCATTTATCAATTATCCCCTCGTCTGCCATTGGCCAATAAACATAATCGTCCCGCCCCAAACTCACGCTATTGGTTGAGATAAGGTCGTGACGCTGAAGCCAAACTTTTTATAGCACCAAAGAGCCAGTGTTTACACTTTTTGAGAAAAATCCAGCTACAAATGACTTTATAGTTGTCTCTGCATATTAAGTACAGAACGTATTTTACATCATAAATACTATTTTTTTTAAAGAAAAGCGCAATCTGTCTCAACTAAGTTCTTTATTTCGCGAGGGGCGGGGCTATGTTTATCCGGCCAATGAGAGATGAGGAGCGTTCGAAATCGGTCATTATTTATGCATTTTCGTTTGCTGATGATTAGAAGCACGCAAATTACACACTTCAACTTTAAAATAACAACCAAGGAAAAACGTATACATTTTCCACATTTTTAAAAGATCTGTGCGATGTAGACGACCATCACTTTACTGTACATTTCAATAATCACCTCAACTCCGCACTGTGATTCACAGACAACTATGAGCTGCAACAAAAGCATATTGCATTTCAAAATTGGCACGTTTATAATCACAGAAGTTTTACATACATCGTTGGTACTTTATGACCGCAAGTGTTGACTAAAGAGAGAGTGCTGGTACATCCATCATTTACTGGCACATGTGCGTCTTTAACGTATACAGAGAATTAACACTCACTGCAGAGAATAATAGCTACTGTACTGGAAATAAACAACACCTTTAGCACAGACTGCTGCCACTTAGTACACCGATGCACGTTATTCTCGCGATCAAACATGTAGACTAAAATGTGAGTGATAATAACTAATTATGATTGTCAGTCAGTGATGATGCAGTAAATTTGGTTGGATTCATAGATTGACATCAGATATTGTTCTTGTAAAGGGGTGGGGGTTACCTGTAGCTATCACAAATTCACTCAAAAAATAAATTCAAATCTGTCATCATTCACTCATCCTCATGTCCTTTCAAACCTGTATGGCATATGTTCCTTGTTACCATACACAATATATTGATCACAGGTTGTCCAGCTCTAAATAAGGACCAAAAAAAAGCAGCATAAAAGTCATTCATATGATTATGGTACTAAAATGATGCTTTTTGCCAATTTGGAGCTTGACATACTGTATGTTTTCTTTGTAAGAGTACAAACATTTAAGTAGTCAGGTTTGGTGGGACATGATGACAGAATCAACATTTTTGGGTGAAATATCCCTTTAACACTTTCACATCTCACTCAAATGTCTCTTTTCTCCCACAGTTGAACATGTCAGCTCTAAAAGCATTTATAATGCACCTGATAGTAACATAATGGCATTGATTTGCGCATCTCAAAGCTCTGGAAATGTCTATATGCACTCTAATACTGTGTATAAATGAATATATTCCTACTATGTAGAGATTGTAAAGCAAACCTGAAGACTGAATCTACACTACTGAATGACTAATAATTAAATCAATACTGCATGGCACTGGCTGTTTAGAGTAGATCCATCAAAGCTTTTTTGTGACCATCAGGCACTTCAGAATAAATCAGAGGGAATTGTGGAATAGCTTCATAGGACCGGTAATTGTTTACAGAACTGTTTTTTGACAATCCTTGATTTGCTGATATTGGCTCTGTGTAGTTATAAATCATTCGCATGACAATAAGAAAACGCTGGCCAAAAGCTAAATCACAAACCCATAACAGCATTTACATATAATCTAAATTCATGAGTCATTCATAAGTCTTTATATTGTTGACATACTCTGTACTTACGGCTGACTGTAAAAAAATATGTTTTACAATCTCTCGGTGGAGAACATTTAATCAAATACACAGCATTTAAACGAGCAACACGAAGTCTGCGCATTTTCTTTTATAGTGTACTTCTGATAAACACAGTAGCTTGCAGAGAAAACAATACTTAAATATTCATGTTTTGGCACTTTATGTTATTATATTTTATCATAACACTGAAATGTAACCCGTCTCTCTCTCTGATAACTGATTTACACTTAAACTAGAAAGCAATGTGCTGTTGGTTTGACAGAAATGAATAGATTGATGTTTCTCTGACTACATTCTAACCACCAACCGTTCACATTCTCTATGGCTCATATTAATGCGATATGAAAATTCACTCTAATTTTCGCCGCGATCTCATTTTGGCATTGCGGTGTGAATCATACAGCCCCTGTTCTGCATTATTATTGATTAAAAAGAACATTCTTTTATGCTTGTATTGTTGTTTACTCATTAGATTAATTAGAAAGCCTTCAAAAAGTTGCGTTATGGTTCCTAGCAATAGCAACTTTTAAGCTCACTATAAATATTTCCCTGGACAAATCGTTTCTAACCGATAATGGGTGATACGTTCTAGATCTTGTTTGGAATCTTTAAATACTATCCAGAGATTTCACGAATAATCACTAGTTCTTCTCTAATTGTGATTGGTCGGGCCTACTGCAGGTGAAGAAGGCGAGTTGGAGGGCGGGGCTTATGGACGGTCTGGCCAATCAGGCGCTCAGGTGGGCAGGTTGAGGTTGACCGTCTCGGCCAGAGGGCTGGACATGCGTATCTGTGAGCTGCTCTTGCTGAGGATGGACAGCTGCGTCCCCCCGTTCACCCCACTGCTCGCTAGCGAAGGGTGACGCTGCTGCTTCAGGTCCACAGCAAAGTACCTGTTCACCGTCCAACTCCTCCATTTCCTCTTTATCTCCGACTGCACCTTTAGGGAGAAACTTGAAAAGGTCATTTTTTTAATGTACTCAGCTGTAAAGGTGCACGCGTTCTCCACCAGTCCACGCTCTCTCACATGCTTTACACCATGTCCTAGCCAGACGTGACATGTTTCTAGCATCAAGTAATTTGACTGTGGACACAGAAAGCAAAGTATTGCACAAAATAATAGCCAATCAGAATCATATTTGTGACCCTGGACCACAAAACCAATAAGGGTCAATTTTTCGAAATTGAGATTTATTCATCATCTGAATAAATAAGCTTTCCATTGATGTATGGTTTGTTAGGATAGGAATATATTTGGCTGAGATACAACTATTTGAAAATCTGGAATCTGAGGGTGCAAAAAAGTCAAAATATCGAGAAAATCGGCTTTAAAGTTGTTCAAATCAAGTTTTTAGCAATGCATATTCCTAATCAAAAATTAAGTTTTGATATATTTACAGTAGGAAATTTACAAAATATCTTCATGGAACATGATCTTTACTTAATGTGCTACTGATTTTTGGCATAAAATAAAAATCAATAATTTTGACCCATACAATGTTTTTTTTGGCTATTGCTACAAATATACCCCAGGGACTTAAGACTGGTTTTGTGGTCCATGGTCACATTTGATGTTTTATGCTTGGACCAATGAGATTTCATTGTGGGCGGGGCTACTTAGAGCAATGCAACACAAAATATGTCTTGTTGCAACGTGAAAAATTGCCTTATTTTTATGTGAATTATTTCTTTAACATGGAAGAAACTGATTGTTTATTATTTAATCGCATCACACCTGGTCAGGACATGGTAAAGTGTTTTGGCAGTAACTCTAAATTATTTTTTATATAGCAATATTGGATGAATTATTGGGGAAACGTAATGTTTTCAGAGCAAACCCAGACATATATCAAATTAATATCAAAGCTGACTGCATGCATTTGAGAATATCAAAACAAAAGCGCTTACCTCTCCATTCAGAAAGCAGTACAGCACGGCCACCACAAACCCCTGTGGAGAGATAAAGTGAGTGTGGTCAAGTGGATATCATTTTAAAGTACTTTACAGTTCAAAAGTATCGCAGCTTAACTGGTGCTTATTTATTTTAAAATGCTCTAAAAGATTTTCTTTCTTTCTTTTGGCATTATATACATGCATTGGGAATTATGAACATGTATTTATTTATTTATGTATTTATTTTATTTTTTACTGATTCTATCTGTCATTTTTGCAATGCATTCTGAAATTGTCTAATCCACAAAAGTTTATATTCAGGCAGCATTTAATATTGATGCCCAATGTTTGGAACAGCCCTTGCGTTGGGATCGCACCTGCTGTATGATGCCAATTCTGGCAGCTCACTGGTTTGGAACAGAGAAATAGTGTCCACGGAGGTGTTTCTAAAACACAGCGCTGAAGTTGCTACTATAAAAGCTGACACCCAGTACCTGGAAGGAGCCTAGGCCCAGCTCAAAGACCAGTCGCTCCCGCTTGCTGAAATCCTCCGGGGAGAAAGCAAAAACAGTGTAGTGGATTCCAAACAGAGGGATGAGGAGCAGGGTGGAGCGCGCCAGACGCCTGTCAACACACAGCACACACACACGGCGCTTCAGATGGCTGATTAAGTCTCTCAACATGTCAACACACAGTTACTGTAATACACAGGAGATCAGAGCCCTCCACAACAAATCCTGTTCCACAGGAAAGAAGGTCTCTTTAATATCTCTATTGTTTTTCCTAGCCAGCAGAAGAGCAAATGGAGACCTTCTCAGATGTTTCTCCTGACCAAAAGATCTCAATAATCTCACGTGTCTCTTCTCTAGACTTTCAGAAGAGATTTCAACAATGTTTGGCTGTGCATTACTGAAATAACAAAATCTGCAATTAAAGTCTAGCCTAAGATATGAGATAATAGTCAGAAATATATATTTTTTATGGAACAGTTTATTGAAACTTAGACATATTAAATATTAAAAAATATTGGGTTAACAACCAAAACTACTTGGATGATTAACTTGGTATAGTTGAAATATGTGGGTTAGTTCACCCTGTTTTAGTTCCAAAATCTGGTTCCATAAAAATGTTAAAATCTGGTTCCAAAAAATTCCAAAATCTTTCCAAAAAAATTATTTTGTGGATGAATAACACTGTTAAAATTCAGTTTTCATTTTTTTAAATTAGTTTTTTAAAGATTTTTATAAAATATTCTAATAAATATTATGTTCATAAATGTTAACATAAATATTATGTTAAGTTTTTGTGAAATAAAAAATAAAATAAAATTAAATCAAATAAAATTAAAATTAAATCTTTGAAAACCTATATCAATCAGCCACTACTACCCAAGACCAAGACCGACTGCTCAGCCACCTAAACCAGACTGGACCAGTCTGAACCACCAGTTCCAAAACAAAGAGGCAACTTTAAGCTAGATTTTCCAGCAAGTAAAACTTGAAAGTTCTATAGCTAAAACAGTAGAATTTGGTGCTAACAACAACAGGGGCATGGGTTCGATTCCCAGAGAATGCAACTGATAGAAATACATTTAAATATGAGTGCAAAGTACTGTAAATCGCTTTGGATAAAAATGTCTACCAAATGTGTGCATGTAATAAAACTACAGACAAGACCACAAAAACTATCTGCAGTGAATATTCACACAGCCTTTCTTTCTCAATGGACAGTTAAAAACGAAAAATGCACATTTGTTGGCAGACGCAGATGCACAAGCACATTCACACAAACACACACACTTACAGCGTGATGGTAGAAAGCTCTGACATCCTGCACGAATGCTGGGCAGCCTGTGTGGGCTCACGGAAGCATTTCTGTGCACAGCTGCTAAACACGATCCTTTGCACTGTATAATGCCAAGCTATCATACCATGTCCTTTTTCCAGGCCAAGTCTATTAGTCCTGACTTCCACCTTTGAGATTTAGAAATTAAGCAGTCTTTAAAAGCCATATCACATGTCATTATAATAGTGTATAACATGTAGACCTATAGACCTAAGAAACCCTATATATATGGGGGGGGGCCCTTTTTCTGTTTCAGCACATGCCCCTCAAAAGGTCTGTGCACGGCCCTGACACACACACACAGACACACTCATGAAACCGACCACACACAACATACTCCAACACCGAGAGACCTCAAGGACCTCTAATAGCTCAAGCACATACTTTGCATGATACTATTTTCCATGCAATTACACTAAATAGGGACTAAAGCCTTCAAGCTTCAAAAAGGATGCAAAAAGTGGTCCATGCATCTTGTGCTCTAGATTATTTAGACTATTTAGATGGCTTATCCAGGAAAAAAAAAAATGTATGCATTTAATTTTTTACTGCCACAGAAGCCTAAAAAACCCAAACATGTTGCACTGATCAACACAACAATGATTCCATCTTTCCTGGAATCAGCACACAACAGATTTAATGAACATAAACTGTAACCATTCAAACAGATCTGTGACGCTTTAAAACATTAATCACGCATTCTATTATTGCATCCCAATCAGACGGTTACAAATTTTGATGGAAATTCCAAATCCCAATCAGATTGTTACACATTTTAATGGAAATTTCAAAAGGAATCCTGTATGCACGCAAAATGAATGCTTTTGCATATTCCAACTGACAATTTTCAGTTCCCAGAACGTTCTGGGAATATTAGTTTTTTTGTTACAAAATAAAACCTAAAAAAAAAAAAAAACATTACAGACCGTTCTCTTTAGGTTGTCTCACACACTCACACACACACACAGACACGCGTGCACATGCGCATACACACACACACACACACACACACACAAACTCTATTTAGTTTCCAAAACTAACCAAACGGGAACTATATGGGAACTATACTAACAAGACTTTCATTTAATTTCAGCCACCATCATGTGATCCATCATATCGACTAATCAGACACAACACTACAACAGCACTCTGTTTCCATGGTGATTGAGACTAACATACTCACAGGTAGATGCTGGACTCGTTCCCGCCAATGTTTGGAGACTGCAGCTTCTGCACCAGGATTATGATGATTCCAATGAAGAGGACAAAATTAATCTGAAAGGAAATGCATGCGTTTATTATAGTATGGAATATGGCTCCATTCACATATATAAATTCATTTAGATGCTTTATTTATCCACATTTTAGCTAAAAACATAAAACTGATATTTTTTTGGCTTACCATGATTGATGCCACAACGGGTCCCTTGATCACCCACCAGAGGGCAGTATTATCATTCATGTCCCAGCAACTGCAGAAATATAATTGACTTACTGTAAGAAGCTTTATTGCTATTGGTTGGCTAGGTCACATGATTTAGCAGCTAAGAGTTCAGGATGATAAACTGCATACTTTTGAAAGAAAATAGCATTCAGTATGTGCCAGATGCCCTACTGCATTTGCCTAATTGTGCAATATACAACAGCACACACTGCCTGGAAAATTGTGTCACACAATGCAACGTGCTTGACTCAAAATTGACTATTTTTTTCGAACCCTGCAAAGTCTGACATATGAAATAATAGTCCGAAAATTTTAAATGGAACAGTTTATTGAAACTTTAGACAAAATATAACAAGTTTGCATATGTATTTCTTGTTGAGTATCATATTTGATACATCAGGCTTTTGGCATTAACTAACAATGTTAATATACCAACCTATTGAAGGACTAATATCTGTTTTGTACCTTTGTACCAGGTTTTTACAGTAGCATTTTTACAGTCTTTTACTGTTAAAATCACGCTCATATTTTAGTATTACTTTCCAAACATAGTTTCATTATTGCGACTAGTGACACTGACGTTCAGTGCCAGCATTTGCGTAGCAACAAAAACGGTGTATCAATCTTTGTTTATGCGGCATTACACATACCCAGAATCATCAAAATGAAGGCGCAGAACGGCCCATATGGTCACACAAATGGTGGGCGTTCCTGAAAGCGCGAGAGAAAGAGGAAATTTGTCAGACCTCAAAGCTGTTCTCCAATGCATTTAGACCATCAATATGAATGCATTACATACGCCAGCACAACAAATCACATCATAAAGAGCCAGTGGCCAGTTAATACACAACCACTGCACTCCATCTCCCTCCATATCTATGACTGTGACACATAATCAATCATAAACAATCCATTTTTGTTTGATGCATCACTGTGACATACCCCAGCCGATGATAGTGTACCAGTAGAAGTAGCGTCTCTCAGGAAAGAAGGTTTCCACCAGGAGTGTGAAGAGATAGAGACCTTCGATGAAGAGCCAGAAGTAGTTTGACATCACACAGTAGTGAAAGAAGACCATCACTGCCTTGCACCCCACCTGAACACAGAGAAACACTTTCAGGTTTGATTAAAGGGGTCATATGATGCGATTTCAAGTTTTCCTTTCTCTTTGGAGTGTTACAAGCTGATTGTGCTTAGATAAGATCCCTGAAGTTGCGTAGACTAAAGTCTCAAAACCAAAGAGATATTCTTTATCAAAGTTAAGACCTGCCACGCCCCCTAAAACGGCTCGTTCTAACACACCCCACATATCTAC